GAGACAATTTTAGAGAAGAACATTTTTTGGTCGCTACCCGGAATCGAACCCGGGACCTTTGAATGAGAGGCCAACACCTTACCTCTAGGCCACGAGAGCCCCCTTGGTACCCTTAAAACCCATAACACCCAACATATTGCAAGAACAAAGGCACAACACCGCTCATAACATTTTCACAAATCAATAAATGTATGCATAATGTATACGACCTTTAATCCATGTATCACAAACAGAAGGTACAACATGAATATTAATGAGTTATAGAACATCGTTTTGCATGTTAACTGAGTAGAGGCAGAGTGGACACGTCAAATCGATACATATTATGGGAGACAGCGTGGTGAAAATAAGTGCTCGTTTAAAAAAAAAAGAACTCGAAGAAAACGTCTTTTCCCCCCATCGCTTTGCCAATTTTTATCGAATTTTTGGATTTTGGCTCAACACTTTCCATGCTCATTTAAAACACATTCTTTACTTTAAAAAAGAAAAAAAATGAAAGAGTCGATTAACACAACAAAGTAAAATTCCAGTTTTGAAGGACTCTCAAGCTATACAAATAACTCAACTTTGAAGGCCATTTCTTCGCTAATTTTTTCTCTGAAATCAGGAGACCCCCATGCCACTTCAATAGCAAACATCTCGACTTCTTTTCTTGATAGATTGGTTGTTGTTGTTTTTGTTTTTTTTACCGAAAGCAAGCCAAATAAACAAGCTTTAAGACGATACCAATAACTCCACATGCCCAAAAATTGACGAGCGCCTGATTCAACCACGTCCACACATTATTATGCCCGACCAGCAGCAAACCAAAGGCAATGTTGCGGCACTTTTCCAGCCGCCATACACTAATTAGAAACATGAATTTGCATAAATGATTATTTCATCGCATATGCCTTTCTAAAGTTTCAGAGAAAGGAAAGAGAACTGAAACATCTGCATGGACAGCAAACCACGCAAATTTAACTGCTTAGTGTGCTTACAAAATGAGTTAATTCTCGGATTTTAGCCTTACAGACACAGATAGATATATGAAACTTATACGTTTGGTTATTACGATGCATTTATGAAATTATAAAGACATAGTTTTATTTAAGTTGGAGAAAATGGCATGAGTTTAAAATCTACAAATCTGATGTGTCTTTTTTCGGCCGACTTCTCCATTCGTGAATTCCAAGAAGTTTCTTATTTTGTCAGCACGTCTCACATGTTATAACGCTTTCTGTCTTTTAACTGCCCCCAAAACAGAACGTCTCAAAGTGTTGTCAAATGACCGGAATGAACCAACGTTTGTGGTGTGGCGGTTGGATATTTCGTTGTCTCACAGTACACAGGAGACCCGTGTTCAATCCACGAGAGGCGAGAAAATTTTTATCGAGTATCTTAGTACATGTATTTCTGCCTCGATGTTGTATCTCTCTCAGTCTCAGTACAGTTTGACCCTAACAGCCGAGTCAGAATCCTGCTTTTTAAATTATCTAAATTGTGTCTATGGGGTCATAATAACACCTTCAGAAACCCCCCCAACGAAACAACAACAACAACAACAACAACAACAACAACAAAAACAACAACAACAACGACAAACTAAACAACAACAAACAACAAATTTTGACCAGAATACGCATCCTCAATGAGTTAGTAATTAACGAATGAACGCGCGAACGAGTAAGCGAACAATAAAGCAGGACTATGTCATCTCAGTTGTCGATAGACCAGGGTATCTGGTTGAGCTGGTTCAGCCTGTACTGTCCAATGTTGGGGTTCGGAGACGGTTTGTACACGTCTGTGGCTCGCACGTTGATGTCCCGCAGTCGGTCCGAGATGTCCTTGACCACGCCCATTTTCTGGCGGACCTGACCTTGGTTTCGCGCGTTCTGTTCCATGAGCTGGCGAATTGCTGTCTCTTCCTGGCGCAAAACGGACATGGCGTGTTGGTGTTTCTGTTCCTGGTCGGCGAACGCCTGAAGAAGAAGAACATGAAGAGAGTTGAGGTCCATATCGCAAGGATAAATAATAGCAAGAAGAAGAAGAAGAAGAAGAAGAAGAAGAAGAAGAAGAAGAAGAAGAAGAAGAAGAAGAAGAAGAAGAAGAAGAAG